CCGCCACAATTTTCAGGGCTGTATCCATTTCCCACACATTAGGCGCCTCGTGATTCCTCGATTTCATTGGGACGCGATGCAACGTTTCCCGAAGAAACTACACAATAAGTTTCTCCTGTAATCTATCACAGTTTTTGAACTCAAGGAATGAAATTATTACGAAAACATTTTATTATAAACGGTGCATACATCACGCTATCTAGCCTTTAAGGTTTTTCACCTATTGTATAAAATGCCTCATAGTTTATACAAAATTATGCGTATCGTTGATCGCGTCAAATCTTGCATGGCGTAATTAAAATTCCATATGCTGTACGAGCCACGATAGTATTCGAAATGGAAACCATAAGACACGATGTTTTATAATCATTAATGTCTCGGTAATTATTAACGTGAATTACGAATAGTTCATTATCGTGCAAATGTATGTATACTCGAATGAAACTTTGGCGGTATGTTCGAGACTATTCGCGTGGTCTTTTTTCAATGTATTTATATCTATAGATATTAGCTGTTTTGTAAGAAACAGTTTTTATCTTAAATATTAATGTATTGCGCGTGCAACATACGAGTTATTACGACGATATTCGTTTAGAAACGTGTCACGAGTAAGAATTGTGTTCGCCAAAATTTCATGCAACGAAAACTGCTAGATCGACTAGAAAGCGTGGTCAACATACGAAAATATAATTTTCAATATTTCGTAGCAATTACATTCCGAATGATTATGAAATTAAGGCAGAAAATCGGTGTTTGATAGAAGAAAAAGTAGCGAGGAGTAATCGATGCAGGATTAATGAAAGTTGTAAGAAAAGTCTGGTGTAACGCGTACGCTTAGCAGGAGGTACCCGAGTGGTTGGTAACAGAGACGCTTAGCGGATGAATACGGTCCTGCGCGCTCCCCTCCACCTTCCTCATCCCGCTATACGACCAGTCAGTTCCTTGTTTGCCATACAAAATCCAATAGTTTGCCTTGTACCTCGAGAGTGCAAGTATGCCTTTTGCATTTGCCTTTTTTTTTAAAAAGTGCGGTAATCCATTGAAGTACTCGCGAAAATGTGCATTTTACTGAGTTTGTTTACTCACACGACAAGATTCCGATGGTTCTGAGAGCGGAGATCCAAGAAAGCATAGTGAATTCCTGTCCGAGAGCAGACCGACCGGCCCGTTAAGGCTTCGTCGATTTTTTGGTCGTGAAAAAACAACGGAGCCGAAGCTTTTGTGCGGAAAGTCAGTCGGGCAAGTGGAAAAGGGACCGATAACGAGGGGAAAATCGGTGCGAAAAAGTGTATAGGGTACTCGAGGTGGCTCCTTTGTAAAAGGAGTACCGCAGGACGAATATTTTCACTGGAGCTCTCGGGAAAATGTGTTATGTATTTACGTGGAATATTGCGTAACGTCGAGGGCCGGGAAGTGTTTGGAAACGTGCAACACTGACAAACCTCGCTTCGACGACTTCGCAGGACGGCCTGTGCGCGTCCGTGCAGCTGGCTTTACCGGCTCTATTTCGTCTCTCTGTCCCAGCGAAATTCCGCTCGCGAGCCCCGATAACCGCGATTGAAATTTTCACGAAGAAACAAACTTCAACGACGTTTCGTACCTCCTCGTGGAAGAGGACAACTCTCGTCGCGGTCAACTGAGTTCTACCTCGACCACTTGCTTCTGGACAACTTTTCGCGAAATCCCCTGCTGCAAGAACGTTCAACTTCTTTTCAGATGGAAATTGGTACGTGTATCGTGTATATCGTCGGTAGATTTTTTTTATTCATCTAAGTCACTGACATTTCTATGTACATGCAAGGTCATTGTAAACTGTTGTGTGGATATAGCTTATCGATGGCTTAATTGTATGTCCACTTCTTGGAAAATTTTACTTTTTATATGTAAAAATTGTACTTGACTGTCTCTTTATGCCTGTGTATAAAATGATGGTTGTATCTACTATGAGTTTTGTAGAAATAATGTGCTCCTGTATCGTAAATCATGTAACGATAAAACCATTCGTATTCGATATATGTTTATTTCTGAAGTAAAACTGAATTAGTAAAGTGGATAATTGAAGCGTAAATGATAAAGTAACATATATAATTATTCCTTATCCGTACAAAAGTATATATATAGTTTGGGTAAAATACCTTAAAAAATTCTATAATTATAAATAAGAAATTTGTAGTAAGTTATTTTGACCTTCTCGGTAGTTCGAGCATTGATCGGGACTGAATTAATCATTAAGTAAAATAATCATGTGTTTAAGACATTAAAAGAAGAAGAGTATCGCCCTTTTCTATTGCCAGATTACCATGGACCATACTTTTTAATGTTCGAATCGGACATGTATGGCGATATAAAAATCTTCTAATGCAATACAAGAAGTATTTATTCTTCTCAGCAATGTTAAAAGTGGGCATATTGTAGACATGCACTAAGCCATCATTCGCAGAACCTTCTTGCTTTATAGAAGCATTAGGTTATGATTATTTTTATAACACACTTTTCAGTTTCAGAACAGCTTGCTTGAACTATGAGATTCACATCCTTTCTCATAATTGGATATAGTTTCGATTAAACGAATATTGTACTTTTACTTTGTTAGATGCCAATATTCTGCATTAATGTACCTTTTTAATTCATCACTGCGATTAACATATATTAAAACTTGTGTTGTGTACCATTCATTAATGTAGTTCCTTTGTTCTTTTTGTCATACGCAAGTTAATGTGCCAAAGAAGCTGAAGTTTTTAACATCAGCAATACTTATGGAAATTCAATTTATATGTATATTGAAAAGCAATAAGAAACATTTCTATGTATCTACTAGCAATCTTATAAAATTATATCTATCGTATATATTGATAATCTCGAATGTTACTCGTATAGAATATTAAAAACCAAGTATTAATCTTTTAATCTGATTTATAGATGTAATATATTTTTCATTTTTTATCATGATACAAAAACAGATACATCAGTGATATAATTCAAAAATATTTAAAAGTAATAACCATGAAAGTAAAAAATATAATAATTAAACTTCTGCTTATAAACAGTGATAGTTCTGCATCATCTAAAAAAATGATAATTTACTTCTGTCCCAAATGCATATGCAAGTCTAATTCCAGATGATTTATGACACTTGCGTGAGGTTATAATACCTAACCAGCTCTAAAAGTTAGCGCTTCAAAAAGAATTTTCATATTTAGCTTAAAATTTATTCTTTAACATTTCCCTAATTACATCAACACTGACAAACAACCACGTGTGTTTTTATTATTTTATATTATGCAATATATATGTGTGTGTGTGTATATAAAATGGTCACAAGTATGAGTAACTCATTTATTTTTAACTTCAAAATCGAGTGAAAAAATGAAGTCACAATCGGTCCAGAATTGGATTACAATATCCCATAAATTTTTAACGAGTCATTGTATCTCGAAGCATAGAACTCATTTTTAATTCGATCAAACAGTAACTACGCGCAAATATCAGAAAGTTTACAAGTTCAAGTTTGCACGATTTATCGTATAGAAGTTCTCTTTTGATCGAAATAATGACAGATTTCCACTTTTCTGCTCATTTTCACAATTATTTACTGCAGTTTTCGAACGGAAAACTTTATTCTTGTTCGAGTTACGGGAAAGTGCTCGCGCTGCTTCGACTGCTTCATAGGTTCTGTCATACGGTGCTCAAAGCGCGGTGCGTTTAAAAATTCGAAACGGCGTCATAAATTAGAATCAGTGTACAGGAGTGGTTCGAATCGACTTGCTGCGCGTTTTTTTTTCACGTGCCACGAATCTATTTGCGTGCGCGTTTACTAGCGTAGTGCGGATGCATCGTCGATCGCGTCACTTTTATCACCTTAAACGAAACAATACCCGCTACCGAACACTTTCGTCGTAGCTACTCCTTTTTCCGTCTGCTCGTGGCGCGCCAAACAGACCGACTACGTCGCGAACAAGTGCAACGTTTTACAACGAAAAACACACGATGGCTGTTCCGCGCGAATCCGATGTTGAACAGCCCACCAATATCCATGTGAAACATGATTTTGAACGTCGTTGTTTCTTGATTCGTAGCATTTCCAATGTGATCTGCGATGAAACGCGTTCGCGGGCTGGACGAGGTAGCATCACCAGCAGCAGCAACATTAAAGCACTCGTCGGTGAGTGCAGGAAGTGGCTTAGGTGGCGGAGGAGGTGGTTTGGAGTACCATTCAAGCAGTGGAATAGGCGGTGTTGTACCTGGCCAAGCAGTTCGATCAGTTGCCCCGAAAGAAATGCCGGGAAGCATACAATTCGGAACTGCCCAAGCTCAACAGCAATACACTGGAGCAATTGTAGTGCCGACTGCGGCTCCCTCCCCCATTAAGGTGCGTGTTATCTACTCTATAGTACTCTATAATAACAACAATGAGTTGGAAAACTACCGCAATATCTTTTTAATATTTTTCGTAATATTAGTAATTTAAACATTTTTTCGCTTATATTTGTATGTAATAATTTAATTTCAATTTTCTTTTTAACAGAGCTATCAATTATAATACCTTTTATGCAGTATAAACACATCAAGAGTGTCCCTAGATCTCCTTTGGCTCTTCCTAAGTTCTCTCCAGATTTTCTTTAGTCTGTCTCTAGAATTTCATTCAACTTTCTCTAGGGTCTCCCTAGATTTTCCCTAAACTCTCTCCATCTGCACCCTAAATTCTTACTGAGTTCTCTTTAAATTTTACCTAGCTTCATCTCTAAGCTTTCCCTTAGCTTTTCATAGACTCTCCCTAGCCTCTGTTAAGACATACTCCACTATCCATGAGTTCTTTGGTGGATACCTGATTTGTCCATGACTGATGTAGTTGATATAAAAATGAATGAAATCAATCCTCTCAAAAACGTCTTGTCAAGTTAACCATTGATTACGTTTTTTTGTAATAGTTATATTAATAAGTTTATTATCATCTGATGTAATAATCTCCATGGTGTGATGAGAAAAATTGTTTATCAAATAAATACTTGATATTATTGTTATTATCTAAAAGTTGAATGTGTTACAGATATATCTGATGCAGAGTGAAAGATTTTGTCAAATTTTATTTTAAATAAAGTTTTTCCTTATGTCCTTATTATAAGTTATGTACACTAATTATAAGTTTAATTGTATAATTGATTAATTATAAATATAATTGTGTAATTGAACATTTTAATTATCATGTTTGGATGTTGTGCAATTAATTTATTTTATAGGGAAGTGGACCTGCAGGACTCAGTTCCACATGTAGCAGTAGCAATGTAAATACTGGTGGAGGGTTGCATAGTGGGATAGGTGGTGAGAGTAACCATAGTATGGGTTCTCAACAACCTACACCAGGAACACAAAGCCAAGTTCATACTCAACAACAACCAACAATAAGGCATAAGGTTCATATTGCATAATGTATATAATAAATTGTAAATAGATATAGGGACTTTAGAAAATACCTCTATGGTCATGTAAAGGTATGAATATTAGGATTAGGCAGAATTATATTGAATTTAAAAATTAAGTGCTCATTGAGATTTTGTATTTTTAATTACTTGGAAAAGATGTACGAATATTCCTTCATTTTTAGGTCCATTCAAGCAATGTAACACCATTAGCTTCTACCCCACCTGGAACTAGTTTAGGTGGTGGAAGTGGTTCACAGCAGTTTCAGAGATTAAAGGTGGAAGATGCGTTGTCTTATTTAGATCAAGTAAAGTACAAATTTAGTGATCAGCCACAGGTATGTATACTGTTGGACAATTTGTCATTTTATCATTAGTTCATTCCAAAACTTCATAAATCTTCTGTAATCAGTCTGACATACAACAGTACTATAATTAGTTACAACTTTCAGATTTGTTTGATTAAGCAGTTGAAAAAACTACAATAATCTCTTAATTTTTAGGTGTATAATGACTTCTTGGACATTATGAAAGAGTTCAAGTCACAAAGTATAGACACACCAGGAGTTATTACGCGAGTGAGTCGTTTATTCCAAGGACATCCAGAACTTATTGTTGGTTTCAATACGTTTCTTCCACCGGGATATAAAATAGAAGTACAAGCAAATGAACGAGGATACGCGTTTCAAGTATCTGTTAGTATGCCGAGTCCAACGGCAACGCATACGGCTACATTGTCGCAACACCATTGTACAGTAAATGTTGGATCACCTCCCGTTGCAAGTCCTCCTACTCAACCTGCTAAAGCACCTCCAGTTTTGCAAATAATGCAAGGGTAAAATATCACGTGTATACCATCTTTCACGTGTACACTGTCTTTACTAGCTAATTTATTTATTTCTAATTGTCATCAGATCTGGGAACATACATCATTCCTTGCCAAACAATATTCCCAATAACAGTTTAACGGTTCATGCGCCATCGCCGCCACCGGTTCAAGCGTATAACAATTCACACGTTACTGCAGCACAAGCTCAGGCTGTGAGTCAAGCGTTAAGTCAAGCACAGGATGGCATACCACCAAGTGGACAGACTCAACAGAGTCAACCGGTCGAATTCAACCATGCAATTAACTATGTTAATAAAATTAAGGTTTGTGTTTTGTTGAAGAAAAGTATAAAGATTAAATGGAAGACAGAGAATAATCCTCCGAATATTGTATCATTACAGAACCGATTCCAAGGTCAACCAGACAAATACAAAAGATTTTTAGAAATTTTGCACACTTATCAGAAAGAGCAACGAAATTTGAAAGAGTCTGGGCATATGGGTGGTACAAGTGGATCTGGTGCATCAGGGGGTGCAAAGCACCTAACAGAAGCAGAGGTTTACAGTCAAGTTGCTAAATTATTTGAAAATCAAGAAGATTTACTCGCTGAGTTCGGACAATTTTTGCCGGATGCTACTAATCAACAGAGTTCGTTGGTAAGTGTCATATATTTAACTTCAAGAACAAGAATTTTTCGTCAATTATTTTAGTTCATTTCGTTTCAGAGTAACAAGACTGCTACAGTTAACGATCACACAACTATCGTTAAGAAACCATTGGGACCTAAAGCACCTTATAATAATTCGGGAAACATTTCGAGAGATCTCCGGGAGTCGAGCGGCACTGGAACGATTGAACGCGAGAGTCGGGATCATAGGGATCGTGAACGGGAGCGAGATAGATCTGGTATACGAGATATTAATAGTGTGCAGAAATTTAGTCACAGTACGGGGCAGTTGAAAAGAAGTCCATCCTTCTCACCTTCGGTAACGGCGGGAAACTCCCATCATATTCAGCATGGCCCGCCTCCTTTGAAAAAGCATAAAGTGTCGTCTATGCGTGAATGTGTTACCATAGCAGAGGCGGGAAAATATGGCAGTCTGAACGACTATGCTTTCTTCGATAAGGTTAGTGCTTTCCGCTTTAAATTTTCATAATAAATGATTACCTTTCTACGGTCTAACTTGATCCTGACCTAAACTTAACCTTTACCTAACGTAACTCTAATCTAACCTGATCTGGACCTAACCTTATATCGACTTAACATAACCTCAATCAAATCTTGCATCGATCTAACATAACCTCAACCAAACCTTGTACTGACCTAACCTAATCTTGCTGTAACCTTATCTCGACATTTGTATGAAATATATACATGCTTAGCTTTTATATACTATATTGAACAAAATTAATGTTAATGAGTTTTTCAAGTTTTAAATCAAATGATAGATTTTTAAAAATGAAATATTAATTTACATTAGGTTCGTAAAGCGCTGAGGTCCCAAGAAGTTTACGAAAATTTCCTCAGATGTTTGGTCCTTTTCAACCAAGAAATAGTATCGAAATCTGAGTTGGTTCAATTAGTAACGCCGTTTCTCGGTCGCTTTCCCGAACTTCTACGTTGGTTCAAAGATTTCCTGGGTCATTTACCTGAATCTTCTAATACCAATACAACAAATACGGGGAGTAATTTAAATGTTGAGGCGCTACCAAATAACGTGGTGCGAAGTCACCAAGAACGACCTCAGGGTGATCTGGCAATGGAAATTGATTATACGGCATGTAAACGGTTAGGTGCATCATACTGTGCGTTACCAAAGTCATACGTTCAACCAAAGTGTACAGGAAGAACGCAGTTGTGTAAAGAGGTTCTTAACGATACATGGGTATCGTTTCCAACTTGGTCCGAAGATAGTACATTCGTAACATCGAGGTTTATATTTTTTTTCAATTTTTTTAGACAATGATAATGGTTGATTTCCGATTAAAAAAACTATTGGTGACTTTGAATTTTTAGGAAAACACAGTACGAGGAATTCATTTATCGCTGTGAAGATGAACGATTTGAATTGGACGGGGTGATAGAGACTAATGCGTCCACGATTAGGGTTCTTGAAGGAGTGCACAAGAAAATGAGTAGAATGAGTCAAGAAGAACTTCAGAAATTTAAGCTTGATGATTGTCTCGGTGGTTGTTCTCCTACGATTCATCAAAGAGCCTTGAAAAGGATATATGGCGATAAAGCTGCCGACATTATAGACGGTCTTAAGAAAAATCCTGTCGTGGCGGTACCGGTCGTTCTTCGACGGTTGAAAAGTAAAGAGGAAGAATGGCGAGAGGCGCAGAAAGGTTTCAACAAAATATGGAGGGAGCAAAACGAGAAATATTATTTGAAATCCTTGGACCATCAGGGTATCAATTTCAAGCAGAACGACGTAAAGGCCCTACGGTCTAAAAGTTTATTTAACGAGATCGAAACGTTGTATGACGAGGTTCGTAATATTTTATTGACCTATAAATTATTTTTTTTTTTTGTTATTAGAAAATAAATTGTATTACAGAGACATGAACAAGTGAATGATGGTAACGGGGATGGTCAAAATAATAGTGACCCACACCTCATATTACCTTACAAAGATAAATCCGTTTTGGACGATGCAGCTAATCTCCTTATTCACCACGTGAAACGTCAAACGGCTATCCACAAAGAGGACAAGCAACGAATAAAGCTTTTATTAAAGCATTTTATACCTGATCTTTTCTTTCATCCGCGCCAGGAATTGAGCGACGACGAAAGAGACGAAGACGGTAAATAGCGGATAAAGTTTTAAAATTAAACAATTTGTAGGCTTTGAAGATAATGATGTTTCGTGATTACAGATGAAAAAGAGGATTTGAACGTAGCAGCGTGTAGTAATTCTCAGTCGGTAACGATAAATACCTCTTCTATGGGTGGTGGTCTTCAAGCGAATAGGAATAAACCACCGGTTTCTCCGATTCCGTCTTCCACGTCAATCAAAACTGAACCCGACGTCAAAGTACCGATCCATGCCTTGTCAAATGACCCTGAAGAAGCGTATACACTTTTCATGGGCAGCAACAATTGGTATTTGTTCCTGAGGTTACATCACATTCTTTGCGAGAGATTAACGAAAATGTATGACCGGGCTGTCGCCCTTGCAGAAGAGGAATCGCGGTACAAACAGCAACGCAAAGAGAGTACAGCGGTTGCTTTAAGATTAAAACCCAAAAGTAATATTTCATAATCCTCCATCTCCCTAGAATAAATATTAGTTGATAACGATTTAATTCGAATGTTTGTTTAATACAGATGAAATTGAAATCGAGGACTATTATCCTGCATTTCTTGATATGGTTAAGAACGTCTTAGACGGTAACATGGAAAGCACCGCATACGAGGACACCTTACGAGAAATGTTTGGAATTCATGCGTATATTGCCTTTACGTTAGATAAAGTTGTAACATACGCTGTGAGACAAGTAAGTATACGCTTATCAATGATTGATCTAAAATTGATTTAAAGGATTATTTCATTTAAAGTGTGATTAAGATCTTAACAAAAACAACTTTTTAAACAAAAACAAAATTTTTAGTTGCAACATTTGGTTTCGGATCCTATATGCCAGCAGTGCATGGAATTGTTCCAACGAGAGCAACGTCAGCCGAAAGAAAGTAGTGGCGCTGGTGGTTTGTGTGCTACAGCTTATATGAGACTCGGTGCCGAAATGTCTTATCAACGTAAAGCTGAGAAAGCAATGGCGGATGAGAATTGTTTCAAAATATATATAGTAAGTGTCTAATCATAAGTTCTTTAATGAAACTTGCCATAACTAATTGCGTTACCCATTCTTGTTTAGTTCTTAATGCCACATATATTTACAATTGTATGTTTCAATCTTACATTGATGTCACATTGATGATTACAGCTAACAATATCATTTCACCAATATAAAAAAATTATAAATAGAACATACCGTACGTATTACGCTATAAGAAGGATGTTATGTAACAGTGACTTTTTATTGTTACAGTACAAGAAGGACTGTAAAATGACAATGGAATTGTTGGATACGGAGGGCGATGAGGCGGTGGACAACAGTTGTAGGGAAAGAGAAAGGGAAGGAGTAACAGTATCTGAAAAATGGTCTACGTATGTTGAGAGGTTTTCTGCTCCAGCTGGTCAGACTAGTCCGAAAGACACCCCTACCTTAACAGACAATGAGCCAACAACCAATCATCCTGTGAGTAACGACCAGGCAGCAAGGGGGGGGAGGGGCAGAAAGCGCAAGAACACTGACATTAGCAAGAAGGTATAGGATCCACATCCCTTTTCATAATCATTGCCAACGTTGAAGTTTACATTCATTTGTATTTAATGTCTGTGATTGGAGTTGTACTGTTGCCATTCAGTGTACAACTAGTGTCCCAAAGAATGAAAGTTTTTTTTCCTTTTCAATTAAAAACTTTCTTCTATTATTTCGTGTGATCGTACTAAATACGCCAGTGGGTACTCGTGCGTGAACGTTTAATCGCAGTCAAGCACTATTCCGGAAATCGGTCTTCAAGTGAATCTTTGTTGACTTCCTTAAAGAAAAAATAGAGAATATTCTGGGAATAAACGTTACAGTATATAATATCGGTTGTTTGCTAATACGAGGAAGCTACGTCGCCATATACGATCTGCCATCACAATGCTTTATCATGCGAATGGGGTCAGAGCACTAGTTCATACTTGTCATTATATAGAAGTCACAAAACTTTGTATACATAAGCAGAATGAACTAAATATTCTTTTAAATGCAAAAAGTAAGAAAAGGACAGAAAGTCATATATTTATTTTCGTAATGTTTAAAGAGATAAGAGAGATATGATTTTCATCTCCGCGCGTCCAATGTGGTGCTGTAAATTAAGTAAAAAGAAAGAAGAGAAAAATGAAAAGCTTTAGTGCACTACAAATCCCCATTCTTTATTCTATATATTTGCACATACTACAAGTGTGTTGTAATTACACCGTTAGATGTTACTCGACAAACTATAAATTATATTTCTATATTTTAAATATCGATTTATAGTAAACAACGATGTTTGAATAGTGATTTTTCAAAATTTCAAAATGCAAAAAATTATTGAAAGCACTCAGCAGTATATTGTTCCAAAGTTCATTGCTTTGCTTCCTCGCTTTTACGATGTAAATAACCTGTGGGTTAATTTATTTATTCGCGCACCTATTGCTCAGGATTTATTCTACATTAGAATCATATCTTTTTTTAGTTGAGTTATTTTATTCTAGGTTGTGGGATACGTTCTACGTTTCATAATTTAGTGCGCGATATTTGAACGCACTTAAAATTTTATTCTACGTCAATTTTACTTTATATTTATTCGTCTTATGGTTATCTGCAAACTCTTTTTGTTTGTTTTCTGTTTTTTTCTTTTTTTATTGGTTTCTTTACGAAATTGTAGAGCTTTGAAAGTTTAGAAAAATAGCTCGTTAAAAGTAACTTATTTTCATGTTATAAACATGATTTCCCTGTGAATTTGTCACCTGATATTAAGATAATCGGGTTCAACGAAATGAACAAGGAAAACTTTTATGTATACAATTAGAGTATGAACGCATTAGAGTAATGTCTCCGTGATCATTGCCTATTTCACGTTTCTTCAGAAGAAATGAAAAAAGTTAACTAATTTAGAGCAAAGAATAATTACGAGATGAAAGACGAGCATTTAAAATACATTTCCAAATGTACAAAAAGAAAGAGAGCAGTAAAGGGGACACGGCATACACAAAATGAAGTCATCCGAACAGTGCCATAAATGGATGTAAAAAAACGTTAGCTTAAACTTAAACATTTGATATCAGTCAATTCTTAATTCTAAATGTTTCGTTCATTTTTCATCTTACTATTATTATTACTAGATAAGATCTACTAATTTCTAGAATTTATTAACGAATTAGAATTGAAGAGAATGTAAATATTTGATATAAATTTGTACATATGTTTTGATACGCAACCTTAGGTCGACTGGTAGTGTGCATCTGCTAACTTGTAAAAAATTTCCACCATTCGCTGTTACATTCAAAAAATAAGAATCGTGAAGCCTTTGGAAAGGAAATATGGATATTGACTCGTGAACACATTACTTCCACGCCACATCACATGTATCATGGCATTTTCTGTCGTCTCCCTTCAAGTTGACTTTGTTGCTACAAAAAAAAAACTGTTTGATACCAGAATAAATATCGAAAAAATTAACGAATGCGAAAAGAAGACGCAGAACGATAATATTTCGGAACCCTTCTCGAATACTTTCAAAGGATGTGTTAACATTTCCTGTGGAAATTAAACGAAAGAAGCTGGGAAAAAATTTCTCGTCCCTACCTTTCAATTAGGGTATGTTAACAAAACATTGAATTTATATATATATTACATATATATACATTTTTTAGACATTAGAGATTATTTAGGCACTAGGATTGAATTTTGAAGTCATCTGTTGGTGCAAGATGTCATGTTACACTCTTGATTTAAAGGATGTAGCATGACATACAAGATGCATTGGTTCTAGCTTGTACTTAAACTGGAAGTAGCGTATCATGGCGTGGACTAAGTGTGTTCCTGATTTAACTGTTGCGCCACTGTGAAGTACATGTGTATTATATTAATAATAATAATGATAATAATAATTCTTTGCTGTGTATATATTAATCTATAAGTAGTGAAGCAAAGATTATATACGGTGTAGCATGTAAATAGAAAGTCACTGGTATCTTTTGACTAATTCATAGTTCTAATGGAAGAACGTAACAGTAATGAGATGTTGATATCCCATGATGTTCTAATGATTTGCCAAAGGTTTCACAGTTTCAGCTCTCTTGGTTCGCTGTTGTCGCTTCTCGCATAAGGAGGTCCTTTTGGCATTCAGTAAATTTTCATTCGTACATAATTATATTCTTCGCTCTGTTTTTTTATTTGTTCAAACTATAAGATTTCGTTTAAGGGTGTAATTTTCCATCGCAGTGAAAAGAATTGTTACGCTTGAAACGTTAGTGTTCGGTATTCGATGACCAACATCTTATTTTTTTTTTTTAATTTTTTTTTAAATCGAATCTTCCTTCGCTCCAGTTTTCTGGCTTCGAACAATGTGTCAGATTCCACGATTAATGTGCTTTTACTTATGTCATGTTCGAATGTTAGGACTTCTTTTTAATTGGAATACTAAATAACATCACATTAGTTCTTATCGTTTGACGTCGACGTAAACATATATGTTTTGTACATTTGATGGGCAACAGGTATTGTTTCTTGGTTTGCTCTGACATAGTATTTTTTTGTACAGTATATATACACGTACGTTTGTGACGAAGAGTGGAATTTTCAGATGCGATGCTCGCAATTGTTGTTTCCTCGTTAAAACTATATCTTCGTATTTTGTACAAATTGTAAACATGCATTTCCTGACAAAGGAGCCTGCATCATGGAATTTTAAGCGCTATACATAATATATATATACATATATAAATATATATAGACAAATTTATACACGTATATTTACACGTACGTGTGTGTTTATAGATTCTTTTCGTTTATTTAACAGTTCAATACGTTTTTATTAGATAACGTGGCACAAGCAACCTTTTTCATTGATTTAACTATACATACATGCATACATATTTATACATATATGTAACCGTTGCCACTAATGATCTGATTTAAACGTTACTGTGACAATTTGTAATATAGTTTCATTGAGACTATGATGGTCATACGTGAAGACAGATTTTATGTGATTGTTATAAGCTCATATCTACGTTTTCACTTTACGCAGTGAATTTTAAACTATATATATATAAGACATATATATATATTTTGTAACTGTAATCTGTATATGAAAATGAATATACATATAATAATAGATAAACAATAATATTGTATAGAAGAGAGATATTGAAATACATGAACAATGCTTTTAAACATTATTGTCTAACATCATTTTGTACCACTAAATTTATTACTTTGATTCTCCAATGATATATTGATTTTTTGTAAAAAAAAAAAAAAAACAAAGTATTTTGCCTGTGCTTCTATGAACAAAAACAAAGCAAAAACAAACAAACAAACCAAATTATTTTGTTTAATGCTGATATCTGATAATTCATGCAAAATATTTACTTCAAACGTTGAAAGTTTCTTTCTTTTTGTTTATCCTCCGACTTTTATTTTAAATGTTTTTACTCATTTAGCTTTGATTTATTCTGCTTATTATTTCAAATGTTATGTCATATGTGCTAAGTACTAAACGGTGATCAAGTACATATATCAAGAGTTATATATCTCTTTTCTAACACATTTGCACTTTAAAAAATTAGTCAACTTTCGTGTAGCCGAAGAGATTGTTCTCGAACTGTTTAACTGAAATTATGTTCATATTTTGCCTCTTTTGTTATGCTTCCGAATTCAAAGATTTATTCATTGTCTATGAATGTGCATAGATAAATTCTCTTATTATTATCAAATATTATTGGTACTGAAAGCTTCTATCATGTAATCTTAAATTATTAGTACTCTCATACATGTTAATTATATAAGATTAATTTTTGGACAATGAAGAATTAACTTCTTGCAGTTTAATACAGTACCAACATGTTTGAAAATAGTAAAGTGACAAGTGTTCTGTTCTGTTGCAAGATCTCATTTTAATCCTGATCTTTGATTGTTGCTTTTTTCACGCATAAAATTTCCCACATAAACGTTCATATTTTTTATGTTCTTCTGTGAAACATATCCCTTTGCCTATCCAAGTTTATCCGAGTTTAATGATAATTCTTATTTATAGAGTACAACTTTATTAGATACATATGTGATTAATTACGTGTCAGTGTATAATGACAATCACATAATTGCGAGTAATTTGTTGAGTCTGAAAGGAAAAATAATGTAGAACAAAATATTTTTTTAAATATATTTTTTATAGTATTGAATTGCTTGTGTGAAGAATAGATTGTTTAAAATTTCTTTATTTTTAAATAATTTATTTATATCTATCTCTTTTTGTAAATTATTATTTTCGTTTAAACTGCGGTAACTTCAAGAAAACCGTGCGAAATCAATTGTTTGTAGTTTAGTATAATCTGTAAGATATTGTAAGAGATTATTTTACAATAGTGCTGTAATAAGAACACTTAACTTAAGTATATTAAATTTAGTAATATATATTTGTGATAGTATAACAAGCGATAGTATTTAAAATTTTATAATTACACTTACTATAATAAGTTTGTACCTTTTAAGAAAATTAACGTAAAACGATTGTTGTAGATGGATGGAAATGGGTGGAGTTCTTTAGGCAGAATCTTGGCAGGACGTAAGCCTGTATTTCTTTATCGTAATGTTAGACAATGGAGGAAGAGGACTGCAAGAATGATGTCAGCATCCATGCCTAATGCTAATCATCCGGAGAAAAGTGCGGAGTAAGTATCTAACTCGGTAGCATTCTATAACATTAATGACACGACAACAACCACCCGTAATACTTTATTTACTAATTATTCTTTTTTCCTTTTAGATCAACAGACAAAGAAAAATCAATGGATTCTGTAGACGCTCTTCTAAAGCGGCCTCCAGGCTTAAGATTAGCAGACTCTGGAGATACTTCTGACATTATTAATTCTGACGAAACTCAGTGCAGATTTAATCCTAATAATTACCAAATGTTGTATGTTGCTAGTAAGGAAGCATTCCTGTATAAAAAGAATTCGTTTAGTCGTGCTAGAGAGGTATGTCTATATACATTTTTTATTCTCGATTAATTTTCGAAAAAATGTGTCGCAACCTATACTTTGAATCTCTGGCATAAAACGTTATTAATATATATGTTTTTCTTTTTCAAAAGTGTCATCCGACCGTAACGAAACATCTGAACTCCAAGTTCCATCAGTGGCTAGCGTCTTGGGCATCTAAAAATGTTGCGGAAGTTCAAAATCGATTATGTCAGGACTGGTTAATGGGTCGTTACGAAAACCTGATCCCTCACAAGACGCGGGTGATTACGGATAACGATCAAACGAGATCACCTTACCGACAATACAATCGTTATAAAGTGGAACGTTTGCAACCCGATCTTTTAACGGAATCATGTGTATAATCTTACGCCTCTTATAATTTCTTTACCATTCTTTGAGAATATATTGATTACTACTTGAGAGCTCGTTTCGATAATCTCACATTCATGGATACTTTCTGTTAAGAATAGGTAGTTATGAGAGAGAGAGAGAAAGAAAGAGAGCGAAAGAGAGAGAGTTCATCATTCGAGACAAAACTAAGACCAATTCTTGTGGCATGTTACATGCACGAACTGTGAGAAAAAGATGTCTTATTTTTGTCAACGAAGTTCATCGCGAGCAAAGACACGAAGTACAGAAGTGGTCGTTAAAAAACAAAGGTATCGAGGACTATAACGAAACGTCTGTACATTGTATGTACTTCACACCTTTACCGCATTCTCACTTTGACAAAAGTTTCATTCTTCGACTGTACAGGTATGAATAATTTCATGCAAATGGAAATATCGCTGGATTTATTAAATTGCTGTTAGCTCAGCAATTTCGCGCGAGTTCCTTCACTTTGAAGTACTAGGTTTAAATATTCCTAAGTTGACAATGAAAGACAATTATAGCGAGCGATATTTCCACTTGCACTGCGCATAGGCTTGTGATCAGGTAATATAAGATATTTAAGCGTGACCCTTCATTTCCAAAAATAATTTCAATGAAATTAGATACAGACTTTCCAGGTAAGGTTTTAAAATAAGAGAGTGATGATAAAATTTTTGATACATTACGTAATATCTCGAACGATTTAGAAAAAATATTCTGTCGTAATTTAATTGTCGCTGTGAACGTACTACAGATTCAGCCAATTTTATTTTACTAAGTATTTTATTTTTATAGATTTACGCAACGGTGAAAGTTATTCAAAATTTGACTGTCAAAACGAAATTGAAGACCACATCAAATTAAATTGGCTAAACCTGTATCCATTTTTTAAAATAATGAACATATGAGGTTCTTTCTATTCGTGCGAGTATAAAGTAACTTCTCCACTTTTTTTCTGATAATTTTACAAAAACAGTTGTTCGAAATGCTTCATGTGCACATATGTAAAATATTTCTAATTCGAGGTTTTTACTAACTTGCTCTTTATACGAATGATACAATTGAATTTAACATACATATGATTGAATGTAATATATATGTTTGTACATATGTATATGCATCTGTGTATGGATGTGCGAAAATCGGGTGCGTATGCACGTGTATATATACACATGCGCACACGCATACATAGAACGAAACAAACACTAGGCCTTATTTTTTACCTGATCTTTAGGCTACTCGATAGAAACTGTAAAATATGTTAAAATATAGCGGTGTTCCTGTACAGTGCAAAGCTGTAAGCATCAGAGTGCGGTGTTCGCATTGTTAGAAAAGGTATTAGTTTACCACGCACGAGGTACATGGTTTATTTTACATTATATGTGTTAAGTATATATCTTTTTATTGATTTTCTTTTATTTCGTATATTCATATAAATTCTATATATACGAGAACCATTGACGCAACTAGGGACCAGGGTGAATCTGGTCGCCCCAAAATGTTGACATTGTGTAACAGATATAAAACACAGAATACCTCACATTAGAAATTTAAACATTTTCAAAGTAAAAAATTTACAAGATTATAAATTTTTACATACTAAATTTCTAAATCGTCAAATAAATTTCCAAGTCTCCAATTTTTGAATTGCCAAATTTATGAACAAGATTAGTGAACTTGGCTTACTCCAGAAAGACATACTAGTGATACCAATGGTACAAATTTTAAGTTTCTGAAATTTTTATATCATCGAACATTTTCTGTTTTTTAGCGTAATTATTCGATTCTTAAAATGAAAAGTCGCAATTACACATGTTCGTGCGTGGTAACGAAAGTAAATAATTCCTTTGTAACATTCGAGCTGCGCGACGCAGTCGTACAAAAAAGACGAATTAATTTTGTTTAAGCGAATCTATTAAAATATATTTGACACATTAGGATGTACGCATAAACATGATTAAATACATTTTTATCCTAATTACACGGATTTCGTTGAAGCCTTGGCGTCTCTGTTTATAATTTTGTGAACGAAAATACACACACCGTGCTCTAGAATTATGCAATATATTGCAGTTGTACATTAAAAACTGTGTATCTTATCGAAAGGTGAACAAAGAAAAGAGAGACGTGGTCTTCCGATACTCGACTACTTGTGACTATTGATAGTGTATTTTATCGAGAAATTGCTAATTTTAAAAGTGTATGTCCATGTATCAAAAGTGAATGTACAGGCAATTTTATTACTCAAGATAATAATTTAATGTTGATATATTTTGCACAAACCATTATTAATATTAATAAATAATTAATATTACGATTGTTTTTATTTCATTCACTCTCGATTCTCAGAGTCGCGATATAATTAGTGTACATTTGTTTGTAAACGGTATAATGACGTTGTAAACGAGAAAAGAAAGTATAATTTTATATTCGAGGTAAGTGGTGAGGGGATAAAGGAGTGAAAAGTACCAAACCCAATTATTTCTTACAACATTACTTATTTTTATTAAAAATGATAACATTCATAATCGTTGTACAATTACAGATAATTTACCCTTTCAGTGTATTAAATATTACTAAATGAAATACTGTATACGAATACATTGCCTGTACTATTTTCTATATGTTTGCTAAAAACATTTCAAATTTCGCAGATATTGTACGCTTTCAGAGCCTGTAACTTGCCAAGTAATCTAATAATTTTAAAGTTTTGTTGAAGCTTAAAGTAGTCCAAATTACAGTTCTTGCTGATTGTTCTATTTTTCATCATTAATGAATAATTCATTATTTTTGTCAAATGGAAGAAAACACTTGTAAAATGTTCCATGAAGCGTACAATGTTCAATCGAGAAACATCAAAGCAAAAACCTCTTTGGTCTTTGAATTAAAAAACAATCGAGTATGACGTTTTGTAATGAGTGAATGATACTATGGTTATATTTATTGTTTTTAGCACATTATAAATAGTCGATTATGATATACAAAAAGGTTTGAAACAATTTTCCCCGTTAAGTACAAAATTGTGGATTGTGCCTTATTGAAATACTGTAATAACTATCCTTGCTACTTTTACACCACCTTCGAGTAATTCTAGGGTGTACGTTAACTTAAGAATAATTGTTAGTCGCCGATGAATTTCGACAAAAATTCGCATTCTTAAAATTCGAATATAAATGAATGTGTTGGAACTGAACGTCGAAGTTCATTAATCATCGATTTTGACAATCTATCCTCGATTCGTATTTGAAAAAAAACAAGATATTCTTTTTATTGAACAGAAAAGGCCACGAGGTTCATAGATCTTCTACAGTTGGCATATTTCTTGTGCGAGTGTCAGAGCGTCAATAGCTTAGGAGAGCAGATTTACAAATACGAATTTTGAATATCTTATCAGAAGTTTTATATCGATTTCTTTGGACCTGACTTTACTTTTCGAACGATAATTTTGTGTATTTAATTCAGATATACGCCTAAAACTACCTATAAAAAATGCTACTTACTAAAATCAGGTCTTAAATGATCCTTATACTTACTACAGTTTTACGAATTATAACTTATTTTCGAATAACCAAGAAAATATAATAAAACTTATCATCGTAACTTGTAAAACATTAATACGTGTTAGTTGGTGCTTGTAATTAACTTACGATGAATTTTCTATTGTAGTAATTTTAAATTCCATGCGTCTAGTCTTTTCCGAACGACAGCAAATTATCATGCGAATTGTGTACTTTCAGATTTTGCATAAAACTTATGCGACACTGCGTGAATTTACCGTATTAACGTCGATTTTTAACGAAGTAAAGTTGCGCAATAGTTTCTTGCAAGATAAAAGCGTTTGAAAATCGCGCCATCGCGGGAATAGTCGTTACCATAGCAACGCGGAATTCGCGCGCAAACAGGGTCTTCCCTCGCAGTGGTTGCGTCGTGTGGAGATTTGCCGCGTGTGATTCAGGTAAGATTAATTAATTTTCATGCAATTTTTTCGTAAAAACAATACAAACTGTAAATAATATGCTTTCGAATAAAAACGTATGCGAAACAACTACTTTTCCTAAGAATAATTTGATTAAAATACGTTTTGCGTGCATTTCAAACTGCAGCTGTCTGTTGTCGAAACAGTTTCGAATCTACTAATTAATACTAATAGTCCTTAAATACTACAGGGATTAAAACTTACATAACTACTATACAGAGTCTGATATATCGCTACTACATTATTGAATCACTAAATAAGTACAAATGCTGTATAAGAATCAGCTCTTCTACGAATTAACAATGGACAGTTCTATGTGCAATCGAACAATGGAAAGTGTATTCAGAAGTTTGTTGTTTTTCGAATATCAATAGCGATCTTACAGTCCGTCCGTAGTAGTTAAAGGTCAAACATCAATGATCGAATGTCGATTCAGTGTTACTAAACAATGTTATTCGAAAAAAGAAAATTTTTCATGCAGTCTGACTCTGTAGAAATGTTGACTCTCCAAAGGTAGTCAACGGTACTGTCGACTCGACGTTCGATCATATTTGCGCGGCACGCACCGATTGCGCGCGCATCGTGACCGCGAAAATTTGAAACCTACTGCATTCCAATCATCAAAAAGCGCGTAAATAAAATAAAACCACGTGACCTGTTCTGTTGTGTGGGATATAGAAAACGGGAGTCCGCAGCTGTTTGTCGGTGGTGTCAAAATAATCCTTGTTGAAGAGGCAAGGGGAGAATTGCTTCTTTCGGCGATACGGCGAGGATGGCGGTGATACCCATGACCATGGCTGTTTAAATCAGGTATGTTCACGTGTTTTAATCATTTTTACGGACACGTCTTAACTGACGTAGTCCATGTCGTCGGACGATTCGCTTTCGATATCGTCTGCCGTCGTGTTTTGACGACAGTGATAAACGTACGCGCTCATTGATACGTTTTCTCCGGTGCGTACACACTTGTAAGTCTCGTCAGGACATTTACATCTGAAACAAAAAATATTATCAGTAGTTCAGTATTGTATAACGTGAGAATTGTTATAGAAGATTGTTATATTAACGTTAATGATTCTTGCTTAGAGCGAGCTGGTTCCTACAGTACACAATTGATTTAGCAATACATCCAGACAGGATTACTTTCCTTTTGGAAATTGACAAATTTTAGAATTTAGAAATTTATAAACTGAAAAGTTTGAAAATTTAGAGATTTATCAACTTGCGTACGAAGTTTGGAACTTACGTATTTCGCATGAAAATTGTGCCTAGACGAGTGGAGGGAGTGTACGTGTTCCATCCGCAAGGTGTATCATAGCAGTCCCGTTTAGGTTCGTCATCATTTTCGTCGGTGCCCCTTTGAGTTCTTGTTTTATCGAGATGCATATCGTGAACGATACGACGTAGTTGTTCCGCAAACTCCTATAAAAAATTATCAAAAATATTGTCTTGAAATTCGCGTTGTTCCTGGTAATTAACAATTAGTCTCATATCATAAGTACGTTACGCAATTCTTTTAATTCCAGTTAAAGAATTCTATCACTAATCGAATTGTATAGTGATCCTAAATTATTGTTTATATCACACATACCAAACAAGTCCGATAATATTCGACCTGATATTTCACTTGTTTTCAAAAAGTCGCCCAGTGATCATCTAAACAGCTTTGTGTATAAATACGTTGAAAGTCGTTACGTACGAATCGTTGACGCAGTTAAGGTCATTGCTATCGATTTTGCATTTCGAAAAAGAACGAGTTCGAGTTTGATTCTTGACGCGTTATCGTTACGCATGAAATGTGCGTTTATATGGAATCTGATGATTGCCAGAATAATTTACTTTTTTTATAAACAGATTCGTATTTTTGGTCACCAAAGCGTTTAACATATTCGTAAAATAATATAATGTACAAAAATATCTTGATATCATGTGTCATATTTTTATTCGATATACTTGAATTAAAAAGAAATCAAATTCGATCAAATAATGTAACATACAAAGTACACGTTTTAAAACATTGATCAATTTTTCATTTATTTAAACTGCAAATGTACTGTTTTATTTCAAGAAATAATTAAGAATTGAAAAATCTTTTTGTAGGCATTTATCCCGTGACCTTAACGAATTCGTTAAATGCTGGGATATTTCAAACACGTATGTGTTTGGGACACGTCTGAGCATAAACATTAGTGTAGGACTATTACACCTATCCAACCGTAATCCCAATAATTTATACCCCATAAAAATGTATTCCTGACTTGATACCTAATAAACATTTCGAAAACGTAACCATAAAATCCGCGTATAAATCTAAAAGCGAACTGCAAAGGAATAAACTCATCTCCACGCTGGAGTTGGATAACGGTTCTCAGGACTATAAAAAGGATTTGCTGAACCGCCTATTAATTTGACCGAAAAGCGTTCTAACAAATGATGAATCTAAAAATAGAAAGAGTTCTATCATAAAACGGATCCCGTTGCAGCGTTAAAACATAACGATTTCCACGAACGCGTAATCTCAGGACGTAACCAGGATCCCTTACCTCTGTTCTCACAGCGGCGCTGTTGGAGAAGTCGATGGTGTAGAGGACAGCTAATAACGTCACTAACAGTATCAGTTTCATCTTGTCGATTTTCCTCGATTCTTCAAATCCGAAGTTCCTATTTCAGCTCCAAAGGATGATCGCCGAAAGGTTCGAAGACAAGCTCGATCTATCGATTCGACAGTGTCGGTTGTGTAGATCGTCAAGAATGATCGTGGAAGAATCTTCGAAGACAAGTGTCTAGGATGAAATCTCGAGGCGGGATAGACCCGCGCGCCGAGTCTGACCAGAACTGGAGCTGGAAGGATGGAGTTGGTTCCGTCGAGAGGAACGTTCGTTCGAAGGTCCTGTCGATGTTAGGCTAAGCGCTGTTCGAATTTCCGGATTCAAAGGAAATTCACGCGTGTCCCAAAGTGATTCCGCGATGCTCTTCCGACTTTATACATAGACTGACGCCTCGTATAGAATGAGGAGACTTTCGAGATGCCTGGAGTTTATATAGGCAGAGCTAGTAGCTGCCCGAGAACGGGTGGGGACGTCGAGGGGAGTCGTCGTAAGAAAGAAGAAGATATGACCAGGGAGAGAGCAAGAGGGTGATATAACGAGCGGTTTCGAGAAGGGAGAAGTTGCAATAATAAGAACAACAGTATTAATAATAATGAACTTAAGTATCCTCTGACATCTGCGTTTCTTCTTGGTATCGATTCGTTGGGTGATCCCGTTCGAGGCGTGGATCCCATGGATATCGATTACCGGGGGTTCAATCGTTGAATTTAACCCCCCATGTTGGTCATTGTGCAACCAGGAAATTTATCTTACTGCTTCTAATCGGTTTAGATTCGTGTATTAACTTCTCAATCGAAGATCATTACTTATTCTATCAGAGGGATTCGGGATTTTGGAATTTTAGGTCTTTCGTACTTTGGGGTTATGACTATTTGAAACTGATCTTCAGAACTTTAGTTCTTGGAACTTTAGAACTTTTAAACTTTTGTATCCTTCAATTTTGCAGAATTTTAATACATTGGAGATTTGACAATTTTTTAACTTTAGCACTTCAGATTTGAAGATACAATTTTATAACTTTCAAACATTTATTATTGGAACTTTGGGTATTTCATAAAATAATGCATTACAAATGTCCATCAGAAAATTCTTTTTCGAAAGTGAATCTAATTCCACTAAAATTTACAGGCTCTAAAATAGATGGGGCAATAATATATTATTTTTTTAATAATTCCCTAACACTTGTTCCTCTCCCTTTACATCGTCCAACACACTGTTGAACTGAACACACTGTCCATATCCAAATTTCAAATTAACTCATAAAGTTACATAAAATTAAATTATTTTAAAATGTAATTTTATTTAAATCAATTGCCTCTTAATTAAAGACAATAATTAAATAATTGGCAAGAAAATGTTTCAGTTTTAGTTTCCCTAACCGAGGGTGTCTGTTATTCTTAAACGAGACGAGATGATTAAAAAAAGAAGTAGAATTTATTCGTTTGAGAAATCGAACGAGGTCTCGCGTTGTGGGATGTAGTTTTCGTTCAATCTTGTTTTTCATTTGTTATTGGATAAACAACTTTCTGCTTCAAAACTTGTGTGACAATTTTATAGTACAAAACGCTTGAATCGTTATATCTGTAATATTATCAACTTTATTTAATCACGTGACTGAATGTCATGGTTTAAAAATATTTTGGTCGTAGAAGCGACTTTCTCATTCGATTTGTGAATCATTTATATATCGATTGTGTACTTTCTGTCCAAAAAAATGCCTACCTCAGAATTTGGATTCAGAAGTTCGTTTATAATAATAAAATTGCCATCATTTTCAATTTTGCAGTCATCAAAATTAAACAGGGGTGGATAAATAAATTGTCAACATTTAAGTTTTAAAGGTTTATCAACAAAAAATTCCTAATTTCGTCAGTTCTCTTAGCGAAGTTCTGCTATATTGCATACTCAGATTATTTTCTACGTGATTAATGCAATGATCCATCATAAGTTTCGATAAATCATTTACTGTTAAGCATTCGTCAAACGCTGATTGCGAGCTTGAAAAACTCTGACGTTGGCGAAGCATCTGCGTGTTTAGCGAAGATATATAAAGCGTATCATGTTGATTCGTTAAATGGAATAATTTAGAGAAACGAAAAGTTGTGACACGCGAATTATCTTGCCGAAATCGTAACTCAAATCGTGCAACCGCGAGACTGCCTCAAACCGAGAAAAAGTTTTGTTATTCACCAACTTAAAATTATCAAGTTAAATTACATATCGTGTTTCGAATTTCCCACTTTTTGTTCCATCATACCGTTTTAGTTTTTGCACAAAAGGCAAGCGTTGGATAAAAATTTTGCACCGATTTATCCGATCGATGTTACAATACACATGAAACATTCGACTGCATAATTTAATTTCTACCTTAAAAACTAAAATAAAAAATAAAAAAACTATTAACCGTTCTTCGCATAAAAAATCAGAACTACGCATATAATTTTAAATATTTACAAACGGTAACTTAATTAGTTATGTAGATGCAGTCATTTTTTACCGCAAATCATAAAAACAAGCAATGACAGGGCATAGTCTTTTCAACAGAACAATCAACAACGCGTTAATCCCAGAAATATCGCGCCACAGTATCGCCCTAACTTCGACGGTCCGATCGATTTCGTAGCGTTATCGTACTCGATCGATCAGACGAGTCAGTCCATAGATCAACAGAGATCGAAACAAACCAATCGATGACGTTGTTTACTCGGTCAGTGCAGTCTCGTCCACGGACATTTTAATTCGACGACAGATAAACGCACGTGAGTCAGAATGCAGCAAGGGCTTGACGCGGGCCCGTCACCATCTCGACCAATAGCACACGGCTTTCAACGTCACGTATCGTGCTCGCCTCATATGCGGACACGATCTAGCGAGCTTATTTACTGACTTGTTTCGCCGATTTTGCACACATGAAGCATTGGTTGGGTTAGGTTCTAGGTACTAGGTAAAAGATACAGCAGGACGCAGGATCATGATGATAGGACTTTTAAGAATTCAAATAAAAAAGATTACTTTTAGTTTCATTTGCTAGCTCATTGGAGTTAAAGGACATTTAAGAGCTTCTCAAGGATTTTTTGGAACTTTGCAATTTTGGGATTTAAGTTTGATGCTCTGAGTCTTTGAGATTTCAGGGACTTTGAGATTGGTCTTAGAGTTCTGGAGTTTTGGGACGTAAGATTTTTTCAAGTTTGGAACTCTGATGTTTTTGGTCCTTAGGAGGTTCATTTTGAAATGATAGATCTTTAGAACTTTTGAATCTTGTCACTTTGAGACTCGAGGACTTCCGACCTTTGAATGTTTGAACTTGATTAGAAACTTTGCAAGTTTCACTACTTTGTAACTTTAAAATGTTGGAGTTTTATAATCGTAGGACTTTGAAACTTTGTAGTCTGTAATCTTTAAGACTCCAGGATTTTGAGACTTTGATAATGTGCTATAGACTTTGATAATGTATTTCGTTGTTTAATGCACGATCAGGGACTCCTAGAGGTCTAAAATTCCAGATCCCATTAAACACGAGCAAATCAAATGCTTTCCCGCAAGTCCATTGCCTTAATGTGACGTTCTGATAGAGTAGGATGTGCTCATATGTCAGTCGAATGTGTTGGACGTTCGTGCATTAAAAGAACATTCATTTGACCGTGAAAAATGACCACTTTCAACAGGGAAACCTTCCATGCTAGCTCAGACTCATATTTAATAACAAAAACCCAATAAAAATGTATCATTCATCCATTTCGTGCATCATTACCATATTCTTGTACAATGAACAAATACATCACTTGACCCTGCTATACCTAACCATCAATTTTCCTGAATAGATTCAATCACTTCTAGTTTTCCTCGTACAATCAAACACGAATCAGACTTGATGTTTGGAATCTTCGTCGTATCGTGTCGATTGTTCGAATTGTTACATGTGCAACGCGGCGAGGTAAATCGCAAGGTTCGCGATAAACCGCTCGCGATGTTCGATGCATCGTTGCAGGCGCGCGTGTGCATCCTTCAGCATCTGTTTTTCTTTCGTACGCTACTCTTTGTCTTTCTTCTTTTTCCAACTGTGTGTCAACGCGAATTGCATCATCGGGATGAAACGTAAGAAGCCGCGAAATTCGTGAGCGCATATTTTTACGCGCGAAGAAACTGCGCTTCGTAGGTACCGCATATCGAATTTCGTGAAGGATGATTACGTTTTTCCGCGGACTTCGATTCGTAGGTTTGTTCGTATGGACCTTCGGTTTCTAACCCTTTGGGGATCACTTCTGAGTTAACACTTTCATGAAATATTCGTTTACAGAAAATTAGTTAACTAAATCTTGACACGACGATTCTAAGCATCAATATTATGAACTGTCGAGCCACAGCATTTTCGAGTATTGTCATTGGTTCCGCACCGATCAGATTTCAACAATTGGAAGGTCGACAAGGTTGTTAATTCGCGTGGTAACGATTAATATTTGATTCGTAATCGATTTAGCCGACCTTGGTAATATTACCACGTAACCGCGTGCCGGTTGCCAATTCCTCCGAATAGTTACGTGCTTGTATTTTGGATTCCATGTGTTCGCTTCGATCTGCAAAACTTTCCATGGTATACACCGTAATAAGACACAAGCGGAGGGCAGGGACGAACGCCGAAATACTTTGTGACTCGAATAACGTCTCGTCATCGCGTCTGAGTTAATTAATTAAAACGCGACCGTATTGTCGCCTTTTGCACCCCTATGTATCACGTACAACCTTCAGATCTTGTCATAATTAAAATCTCCGCAAGATCGTTGGGTTGGTAGGAATTAGTGTATATAGCGATATGTTGGTGATCTAACGCGTAGATGGTGATCTGACACGTGGATGTCGAAAACGAGGCGATGTAACGAGTAGATATACAACGCAGGGTAATCTAACGCATCATAATTGGGGGATAGTAATCTAACGCGTAGACGTATAATGCGTGGTGATCTATTACACGGTTATCTGACGGGTGGTGATCTAACGTGTGGCTGTACGACGCGTGGAAATCTAACGTGTAGATATATGACGCGTGGTAATCTAGCGTGTAGGTATGCAGCGCGTAGTAATCTAATGTGTAGCTATACCACGCGTAGTAATCTAACGCGTGGTAATCTAATGTGTAGCTGTACCACGCGTAGTGATTTAACGCGTAGCTATACCACGTGTAGTAATCTAACGTGTAGCTATACCACGCGTAGTAATCTAACGCGTAGCTATACCACGCGTAGTAATCTAACGTGTAGCTATACCACGCGTAGTAATCTAACGCGTAGCTATACCACGCGTAGTAATCTAACGCGTGGTAATCTAATGTGTAGCTGTACCACGCGTAGTGATTTAACGCGTAGCTATACCACGCGTAGTAATCTAACGTGTAGCTATACCACGCGTAGTGATCTAAAGCGTGGCAATCTAACGTGTAGCTATGCAACGCGTAGTAATCTAACGTGTAACTA